GAGGCCTCCGGGAGGTCTTCCAGGAGGGCCCGACGAGGCCAAAATCATTGATTTTCTTTAGGTTTTGAAGGATTTTCGCATTTGCTCCTTTTCGGCTTTCCGACGACCCAAGACGGTCCAAGAGGCCGCCAAGATCGCCCCCACAGCGCCCAAGCGGCCTCCAAGATGGCCTCAGGACTGCCCAAGAGGCCCCCAAGACGGCCCCAAGAGGGCACAGAGACGGCCCAAGAGGCCTCCACGACGCCCAAGATGGCCTCTAAGACGGCCCTTGAGCACCCTGGGCCGTCTTGGGGGCCTCTTGGGCCGTTCTGGGGCCATCTTGGAGGCCTCTTGGGCGATCTGTGGGCGATCTTTGGGGGCTCTTGGGCCGTATTGGGCCTTCGGATGGCCTAAAAGAAACAAATGCCAAAATCCTTCAATAACCGGAGGAAACACAATGTTTCAAGCCTTCCTGGGGGGCCCTCGCCCCAGAAGCGCCCAAGGGGCCCCGAAGATGGCCCAAGAGGCATCCAAGGGTTCCTCAAGGCCCGAAGACGGCCCCAGAAGCTCACAAGATCGCCCCAAAGGCCTCCAAGATAACCCCATAACGGCCCAAGAAGCCTCCAAAACGGCCCCAAGAGCGCACCAAGACGCCCAAGATAGCCTCCAAGACGACCCTGAAGCGCCAGGGCCCTAAATCGGTTCTGAGAAGCATCCAAGACAGACTCCGATGGCATCAGACAGGCCAGGAAATCCGTAAGACAGCCCACGAGGCCCCCAAGAAGCCATATAAGGCCCACACGAGGCCCACGGAGGCCCCCAAGAGACCTCCCAAAGGCTCCCAGAAAGCTGCCCTGAGGCCCCAGAAGGGGCCCCAGAGGCCCCCAAGCGCCTCCGCCTTCTCCTCTTTTCCTCCTGTTTCCTCCCTCTCCTCCTCCTCTTCCTCCCCCGCGTGTTCCCCGAAGGGCTTCCACAACGGCTGGGGGAACGCATGGTCCAATAGCGTGGCCAAACTGTGCCCAAACGTTTGGCCTCGTAGGCGTTCAGTCGGGGCGTTGACCTAAGGAACCCTAAATAAGGAACGGAGCCCCTTTCACCCATAAGTTCAACCTCGATTTCCCGTGGAAAACCTCAGGAAAGCCCGAGGCAAACTTTAAAACATTCAAGGAACACCCAGCCCCTCCCCAACGAAAAGGGTTCCTTCTTCAGCGCCCCGACGGTATCCCAAGAGGCAGACGGCGGCGATCGTTCGCCGGAGGCGTCTTCGATTCCTAACCTTTGTCGTCTTGGCAGCGTCCACGCCGGCCCACCGAGGCCCCAGACAGCGCACCAACAGGGCACACGAGGCCTCCCTGAGGGGCCCGAGGGCCCCAGGACGGCCGCAGGGGCCCGCAGGATGGCCCAGGAGAGCCCCCAGAGGGCCCTACAGTCGGGGCGTTGACCTAAGGAACTCAAAATAAGGAACGAGGCCCCTTTTTACCATAAGTTGAACTTCGATTTCCCATCGAAAACATAAGGAGAACCTGAGGCAAGCTGTGAAACACTTAAGGAACACGGAGCCCCTCCCCAACGAAAAGGGTTCCTTCTTCAGGGCCCCGACTGTACAAACTTCGCACCAAATTAGCGAACACTCATGCCACAATCATCCGTCAACGCCTCCCCGTCCCCCCAATGTTCCAAGTTGGCGGTGGGTCTGATGAGGTGCGCTTCGACCGCGGTCTCCCCCGCGCGTGCCAATGTGGAGTTTGTGGGGGAGGGGGGGTGTCCAGTAATTGTTTCCATCTACCGTACGAACTGATATTTCGAGCCTCTCTACCCGAGATGGCCCCAATCCGACGCCCCCGAGGCGCCCACGAGCGGCCACTAGAGGCCTCCGAGGCGTCCCCCAGGAAGCCCACCTGGAGCTCCCGAAACAAAAAGCCCAAGAGGCCCCCCCAGATGCGCCAAGAGCCCTCGGAGAGGCCCCTGAGAGGCTTCCCACGAGCCCCTCATGTGCATCCAAGAAGCTCCCGACCCACCAGATCACGTCCAAGAAGTTCCTGGCCAAGCAGATGACTTCCACTAGATAACTCGCTCATGCTGGGGGATCGGTGGAATGGCGTGAGCCACTAGAGTATATCGTGCCTGCTTGCAGAGGACACTCGTCCCTTCCGAGGGTAACCCGAGCTCCAGACACAAAGAGGGCACGAAGCCTGAGAGGCAGGACAGAGCACCCTTGATTTCCCAGGGTGGGTCGACCTACCAATCAGCCCCGGCTGCGTTGAGGAGCACGCAAACGCCGATGCAGCTGCTCCCCGGGCCTCTTCCCGGGCGCGTTCTGACAGGATCTCGGGGCGCAGCTGGGCGGCGTGGGCCCTCCAGGACGAGCAGCGACGTCGGTAGTTCGTCCTCCTCTGAACACAACGACACGATAAATTGCATAACCACACACACAGACACGCACGCACGCACGCACGCACGCACGCACGCACGCGCGCGCGCACACGCACACGCACACGCACACGCACACGCACACGCACACGCACACGCACACGCACACGCACACGCACACGCACACGCACACGCACACGCACACGCACACACACACACACAACACACACAACACACACACACAACACACACAACACACACAACACACAACCCACAACACACAACCCACAACACACAACACACAACACACAACACACACACACGCACCCACACACACACACACACACTTCTGGAGGTCCGCGCCGATTTCTTCGACCTGCGCGGAGCCCCCCTCCCCGGCGCGCGGAGAGCGCCAGGGGCGGCGCTGGAGACGCCGCCAGGGGGGGGCCAGACCACAGATCTAAGAAATCCTCGACGAACTCCGACAGTTGATGTATATATATATATATGCTGTCTTTTTCTCCTTCGGTTCCAAGACGAGCAGCGGCATCGGTACGACTTCCTCCTCTGAGCTAAGGTGCCTTTTTCGGGGATTTTCTGACCCGGGTCAATCCAGACCCCGTTCAGTCAAGCCTTGCAGAATCCTGCAAGATCCTGCAGGATCCTGCACCCAAACCCAGGTCAATGCGACTCTGGCACTGCAAGATCCTGCAAAATCGGGCGGTCTGGCTGACTCCCGTTTGCATCGACCCCCATCTCTTAAGCCCAGACTTCTCCGGAAAAGTAGCGGGCCGGCGCCGCCGCCTGCGGAGGCGATGCAGGTGAGCTCCGCCTCGTGGATCTTGCGTAGCACGCGGCGGCGCGCGGGGAGGACCTGCCAGGGCCCCCGCCGGTGCGGGGACGCGCAGGGGGGAGGACGTTTTTGGTTTGTGGCACGCGCCCCACTAATCATGTCAGGTTGGGCATATCGCCCCACATGCGGATGTTGGACAAAAATGAACAAGAGTCATAATACATATCGAAAATAGCTTAAAGTAGTTGAAACATCGTCCCCATATTATTGTTTAGACTGGTTTGGGATATTCCTCCAGTAGACGGACAGGTCCGACTCAACTCAATACTAATGAGGCGGGGGCCGTGAACAGGCAGGCCGCGAGGTTGAGCACCCAGAAGGAAGGCCCTGGCGGGCCACAGGCCTGGCCGCCCCCCCTTTCGAGTAGGCGATTGGATCCACAATTGGCTTAACCCAAACTTGATTGTCTCGTCGAATCCAATCAAAATGCGTAAAATGCCAATAATTCTACGAACCTTCTACGCGTGGGATGTTCGTTGATCCGCGAACCTTGTACGCGTGGCTCGACGAGACAGTCCAATGTGGGGCACATCGATGCTGTAGTCGATCCCCTGCTCGGCCCCTGGGTGCGCCCAGTCCTGCCTTGCACGCGGTGGTGCAGCGAGCGCGCGAAGCGCGAGACGACGAGCGACGGAGAGTTCCAGCAAGGGGGGGCCCGAGGGCCCCCACGCCCCTTCGAGTAGGCGATTGACTGCAGAGCTGAATTGCCCGAACATTGATTTGTTCGTCGAATCCCACCAGCACAAGCACAAGCACAACTCCGATCGAGCGCCCTAGGACGTGCCATACCGCTTGCGGGAGCGGCGCGATTCGTGCATAAAAGAAAAACGCGCGCAGCGGAAAAGTGGAAAGAATGGACACACCCCTCGCGGATATCTAACCCCTATGAGAAAGGCGTTGAATGTTTGTAGAACTACTGACCGTCTGCGCGTGGTTCGACGAAAGAATCCCATTCTTGGACGCAGCAATTCTGGAGTCGATCCCCCACTCGACCCCCGGGCGCGCCCAGTCCGGCCTCGCGCGCGGCGGCGCGGCGAGGCGTGGGGCAGAGAGCGCGCGAGGCGGGAAACAAAACGCGGGGGAGTGCCCCAGCCGGGGGGGGCGACAGGGGGCTGATACAATGGGGGCCCCAAACGCGAGAAACCTCCCACACAAAAAAAACCCAACCCTCAGAGCCCAAGGCATTTTTTGGGGGCGAGGGGGCGCCACGCTTTCCATGGGGAAGCCATCGGAACCCAAGAAACCCAGGGGACCCTGGAGGCAAGCAGGGTGCTCATTGGCATGGGTCTCAACTGTAGCCTGGGCCTCCTATAATGGGCATGATTTCCACCGCCACCACCATAAGTTGGAGGGGGGGAGGAGGAGGAGGAGGAGGAGGAGGAGGAGGAGGAGGAGGAGGAGGAGGAGGAGGAGGAGGAGGAGGAGGAAAAGGAGGAGGAGGACTCTTCCAAGGCTCTTCCTTGATCGACATCGTCGGTTCTGGGGCCGCCCCGCCGCCCGCCGCGCACATGCCCCTCCCCCGGGTACGTCCCCATTCTCAAAGGGGTTCCCGCTCAGGGTATGGAGCGTGCGCGGCTGGGCACGTTTGCAAGGCGGTGCAGTCTTCTCCCTGGCTCCGCCTCGCGAGGCGGTGCTGGTCCTCCTCACAGCTTCTGCAAATCTCGCAGGGCGCTGCAGTCTCCTCCCTGGTTCCGCCCTTCGAGGCGGCGCTAGTCCTCCTCGCAGCTTCTGCGTTTCTTACATTTTTTCACACGCGCCTTCTTCGGAAGCGTCCATGGCCCAGCGTGCTCCTCAGGACCATCTTCGCGAAGCCTGGCCCGAGTGGCCACGTGGGCCTACCGCTTGAGCCCAACAGGGTGAATGGGCTGAACTTCCTGCTGGGCGTGATGACGTACTTCTGGTATCTGGTCTCGATGTTCTGCTGGTTCTCCCCTGGGAGGGCCCCCCGCTCTCCATGGATGTCCTGCGCCTCCCATTGGCTACCTTTCTCCACGTTGTAGCTGTCGGCGTCGGGCTTCGGGTTCGCCTCATCCTCCTGCTCGCCCTGGCACCTGCTCGGGCCCAGCCGAATGCGGGCGATCTCGGTTCGCGCTCGCCACATCGCCGCACTGGTGCATGCCATATCTGCCGCACTGGAGCTGCTCATATCAGGCTCCGTCTTCGCCTCGCACTTCTCGCGCGCTGTGTTTCCAGTCTCCGCTGGTGCCACCGCCGCTGATGTCTGCGCTGTGGCTGGTCACGTTGGGCTCCTCCTTCGCCGCCGTAACCGAGCCACTTTACGACTTCGCAGATCCAGCCGTGGCGACGAGGGGTCCCGAGGAGGAAACGCTAGTGGTATTGGGCTCCAGCTCGGCCTCCACCACTGTTGCCCTGATCTCAGCACTGTTGTTGGTCACGTTTGGCTCCGTCTTTCCCCTCTGGCTCTGGCTGGCAGCGTGGCTAGAATCGTTGGGATCCAGCTTTGCCTCCTGTCCGCTCTTCTCACACGAACTCCACGCACGGCGCTGCCACTACCCGTCAGGTCCGTCCTGGTCCCAACGCTGTAGCTGATGCCGTTGGGCTCGTCGGTCGCTTTCCTTTCGCTTGCGCTCACGGTGGCTGCTTGTCGCCTCCGCGTCGTAGCTGGCGGCGAAGGGCTCGTCCCTCGCCTTCCCACTGGTGGACGTCGCCGTATTGTAGATGATGTCGTCGGGCTCGCGTTTCGCCTCATCGCTGTACCTGTTGACGTCTGGGTCCCCGTGGGGCTGTCTGCGCGCGCAGCCCTGGCCTTCTGGAAGCTGCCATTGCCCGCCATGCTCGCACTCTTGAGGCTGCCACTGCCCGTCGCTCTGCCGCCGCCCGCCCTCGCACTCTTTATAACCATCCTCTTGAGGCTGCCACTGCCTGTCGCTACCGCGCTCGCACTCCGGAAGCCGTCACTGCCCGTCCTGCTCGCACGCACCGCCGTCCTCCTCCGCGTAGGCCTGCATCCACTACCAACCCCACCACGGCTCTGCATTGGCGCACTGACGAACAGCTTAACCAACTCCCACAATGACAACGTATCGCAGGTCACGAGAAGGCTCGGCATCGGCGTTTAGGCTGTACCCGTTGCTCCGCGCTGCGGGCTGCACCCTCGCCTCTGCCTTCGCCTCGTCCAGCTGGGCCTGGAGCCGCGCTTGCACCTCTCGCAGTCTCTGGACCTTTTTCCTGGAGCGTGAGGATGGCGCTGTCCGCGCAGAGCCTCGCCCAGCCTCGTCTACCCTCTGTCGGCTGTCTCTCCGCCGTGGTGCGCTCCGTTCGCACCGTCCCGCTCCAGGGCTCGCATCCGCATGCGCTAGGGGCTTCCTCTTGGGCGGGCCGCGGCGCGGCCTCGCAGAGGAGCACGCCTATGAGGAGGAGAGGACGAAGAGGAGCAGGAGGAGGAGGACCCCCTCCCCCTCCAACTTATGGTGGCGGTGGTGGACCTCTGAGCCCCCCCCCCGACGGAGGTCAACCTCGCCTCGTCGTCGCGCCGCGACGGGGGTCGGAGCGCCCTCGGCGCGCGGTGGCTGCCCGCGACGGGGATCGACGTGGGGCTGTCGGCGGAGGTGACGCCGCCCCCGACGCTTATTGAGAAACTCGGAGAAGCTGATTCTCAGAGGAAGGGCTGACCTACCAAATGGAAAGGCGGAAATGAAGGCAACGTTGGCGCGGATCCAAAACGCAATGCCTCGGGGATCTCCGAGAGCCGGCCGCTCTGCAGGGTATGTGCCGACGCCATGGCCGCTTCGGTGCGCAGGCCGCCTGCTCGCGCATCGCACGGTCCAGCTGTTGTGTGTGGGGTTAGAGCACAGAGGTGCGGAACCCCTGATCCGTAGGTAGGAGGAAGGAGGGACAGATAGGGATCTTTTCCTCCTGTGCGACCAGCGTCCTGGTCTCTTCCAGTACCTTGAGCCAATAAGGCGAGGAAACAGGCGAGTGAGGAGTAGAGATGAGGGTATGACCCTGTTTCCTTTCACAGCTGTGACCACCGGAGCCGGGGGGCGAAAAAACGCCTGAAACATTACGAGTCTCGATGCCCGATGGACTGCGGAGCGGACGAGGACGAGCTCGTCACGTCCTCCTGAACAGTCGTTGTGTTTTTGTTTCTGTCACGCGGGGTCGGCGCCCACGTCGGGTTCTTTCCCAGCCTCTGAAGCGTAACACTCTATCGTTCGTGCTCGCGACTAGGGCGCGAAGGAACGATACAGCGACAGAAGAGAGAGAGAGAGAGGGAGAGGGGAGGAAAGCATACGAGGGCCACGCATTAATGGAGGCCAGCGCCAAAGTGAAGAACGCAAAAAAGAAAAACGCGGTGGATCGGTCCCGTCCTGCTTAACTATGCTGGACTCCCGCACAGCAACTTTCAGATACAAGCGCTATCTGCACTTCTGCGCGGAGCAGATGCGAAGAGGTACGTTCGAGACTGCGAGATTTGGTAACCTCAGTGCCTAGTGTCTGACAGACACTGGCGGCTCAGTACTGCAGCCCGCCAGGAAAGCTGCCAGGTAAGCCACCAGGAAAGGTGCCAGGAAACCCTCCTGGTATCCCATGAACGCCTCTGGCGGTGCCGCCGCCGCCTCCGCCCACATAGCACTCGGGGTGGCCTTGCTGGTCGCACTCGTCTGGGCAGCAGTGCCGGCAGTTGTAGCCGTTGATCGTCGGCGGAGGGTTGCTGCACTCCTGGTCTCCGGGGGCACTCGGGGTGGCGGGAATCGTGGTGCCGCCCCCGCCGCCTCCGCCCACATAGCACTCGGGGTGGCCCTGCTGGTCGCACTCGTCTGGGCAGCAGTGCCGGCAGTTGTAGCCGTTGATTGTCGGCGGAGGGCTGCTGCACTCCTGGTCTCCGGGGGCACTCGGGGTGGCGGGAATCGTGGTGCCGCCCCCGCCGCCTCCGCCCACATAGCACTCGGGGTGGCCTTGCTGGTCGCACTCGTCTGGGCAGCAGTGCCGGCAGTTGTAGCCGTTGATCGTCGGCGGAGGGCTGCTGCACTCCTGGTCTCCGGGGGCACTCGGGGTGGCGGGAATCGTGGCCGCCGCCGCCGCCTCCGCCCACATTTACACTCGGGGTGGCCCTGCTGGTCGCACTCGTCTGGGCAGCAGTGCCGGCAGTTGTAGCCGTTGATCGTCGGCGGAGGGTTGCTGCACTCCTGGTCTCCGGGGGCACTCGGGGTGGCGGGAATCGTGGTGCCGCCCCCGCCGCCTCCGCCCACATTTACACTCGGGGTGGCCTTGCTGGTCGCACTCGTCTGGGCAGCAGTGCCGGCAGTTGTAGCCGTTGATCGTCGGCGGAGGGTTGCTGCACTCCTGGTCTCCGGGGGCACTCGGGGTGGCGGGAATCGTGGTGCCGCCCCCGCCGCCTCCGCCCACATAGCACTCGGGGTGGCCCTGCTGGTCGCACTCGTCTGGGCAGCAGTGCCGGCAGTTGTAGCCGTTGATCGCTGCTGTCCTGGTCTCCGGGGGACTCGGGTGGCGGAATCGTGGTGCCGCCCCCGCCGCCTCCGCCACATAGCACTCGGGGTGGCCTTGCTGGTCGCACTCGTCTGGGCAGCAGTGCCGGCAGTTGTAGCCGTTGATCGTCGGCGGAGGGCTGCTGCACTCCTGGTCTCCGGGGGCACTCGGGGTGGCGGGAATCGTGGCGCCGCCGCCGCCTCCGCCCACATTTACACTCGGGGTGGCCCTGCTGGTCGCACTCGTCTGGGCAGCAGTGCCGGCAGTTGTAGCCGTTGATCGTCGGCGGAGGACTGGTGCACGTCTGGCCAGACTTGTGCTGCAGGATCGTTTGATGCGTGCGCTGAAGGAGAGCCTGCTCGTCACCTTTGGCATCGCAATTGTCGTTGCCCCAGCAATCGTCTGTCCGCGCGAAGGCCAGCGCAATGAGCCAGGCGCCTGCCAGGAACCCTGATATCGCCCACATCGCTGCAGCAAGCGATGTGTCCTCAGGAAGCGCTTGGAAGCAGAGCCGCGTAACGGTGGACAACAGAAACTGAGCCAACCTTGAACCAAAATGACTACGGATGTCATCCTGAATAGTTTTGACGGTCCCATGGAGGAGCCCAGTATAAATGGAAACGGGACCTGGACCCCATGGCTGTCACCTGGGGCCAGTCCTTCGGCCCGAATTGTTTTGCTATGTTATTCCCCCAGAATCCCCTGAGATCCGACGCCGTGGGAACAGCAAAAAACACCGCGAACAATCACAGTCAGGCTGGACCCTCGGCCCCCATCTTCCAACACAAAAGCCTCGAGCCACATCGATCCGCGAGAGCCCGGGGGTCCGAGAATGGGCGAGTACGCCCGATGGTGCAAAAATTACCTACGCCCCGACATCAGGGCCCGTTTCCTTCAGGCATTCGCAACTGGAGGTCACCACTGGGGGGCTCGCCACCTCATCCAAGAGAGTGACATCTCAGGACCTCCAGCGTCCCCCAGAACCTCCCAGAGCGCTCAAAGCCGTTCAAACTAATCTCATCGACTCTTCGTTTCATCATCAGCCGTTGATCCACAACAAAAACAGGCGGCTCTCCTACATTCCGTCATCGTGCTACCGTCAGGAACTCTGACTGGAGAAGTGCGTCACATCGGTCTCCATTGGCACGGAGACGAAGTCAAATCGCATCGGCTGCATCTAGATTCACAGCGGCGCCATGCTAACATCGGGCCGCATCGGATCGCAGGAGCCCGACCCGAAGCGATATCGAATCAAACCGAAGCAGATCTTGCTGGCTGAGCGCGCAGACTAGAGGCACCCCAAACTGGACACAGTCGGACCTGGTGTTCGTGGCCTCTTGGCTGGAAACTATGGTGACCCACCTTCTTGGCATTGCCTCACTCATTGGAGGCCTCCCAACTGGGGTAGACGGGGTGGGAGGATTGCACCGCGTCGCCGATGCATCGCCGATGCATCGGCGACGTCGGCGATGTAGCGGCGCCGTCGGCGTGGAGAAAATCGTGCCCCACATCGAGCCGCATCGGCGATGCGGCACGATCCTCCGACCTTACCTGCTCCAAACCTCGGGTCCCGATCCTTGACCGAAACCCCGATCACCCATCCTCGAATCTCGATCCTCGATCGACCCTGGAGCCTCTATCCTCGATCGATCCTCGATCCTCAATCCTCGCTCGATCCTCGGTCCTCCTTCCTCGACCCTCCATCCTCGACCGATCGTTCCTCGAGCGATCCCGGAGGCTCGATCCTCGATCCATCGATCCTCGATCCTTGGATCCTCGGTCGACCCTCAATCCTCGATCGATCGATCCTCGATCCTCGATCCCCGATCCATCGCTCCGTCCTCGATCCTCGCTCGATCGACCCTCGATCGACGCGCGCGCCCCTCAACGCTGGGCACCCGACCCGGGCCGCCGCCCCGCCGCCGCACCGCTCGGCCCCCGCGGCGCCCGGCGGCGCGGGCTCCGGCTCGCCGGCCCTGCCGCGCGCGCGGCGCACGGGGGCCGCCGCCGTCGGGCCACGCGGCGTGCGTTTTCTGTTTGGGTTCCGTGTGTTTCGAGTGTTTTCGTGTGTTTTGTGTTTTGTGGTTTGGTGTTGGGTTTTTTGTTTGTGTTGCGTGTTTGTTTGTGTTTTTGTGTTTTGTTAGTTGTTTTTGTGTGTGTGTGTGGGTGCGTTGTGTGCTTTTGTTTTGTGTTTGTTGTGTGCTTTTGCGTTTTTGCGTTTTGTATGTTTCGTGTTTTTGTCTGTGTTCTGTTGCTGTTGCTGTTGATAGCCTTCACCCCTGGCCAAACAACCCCGCGCGATATTAACCTCGAAAACCGGAACGAAATTCTCCAGGACACTCCGGCCCCATCCGATCGTTTTCGGAACGAAATCTGCTCTGCTATGTTGGCGCCATGACGAGTCGTTGTTTGGCGGTCTCGAAGCCCCAGGTCGAGGCCGAACATCGTGTACAACTCTGCGTCGTGATTTTTGTTGGATGACCCCAGGGGATCTAGGCTATCCTCCTCTGATTTTTTGGATGACCCCAGGGGGTCTAGGCTATCCTCCTCTGACATGCTCAAAAGCCAGGCGAAGGCTGGCAAACCCGTGGCTGCTAACACGGAACTCCGGGAAATCATGTTGCCTTCTTCCCGGGAGCAACCCGTTCACTCTTTGGCGCGCTGAGGTTTTTGTTTTGGGATTTCGTGTTTTCCCTGCCGGGAAGACCGTTTTAGCAGCCATGGATTTGCCAGCCCTCGCCCAGCTTCGGGGATGGAGTGAAACCGACCTCTGGCCCAACCCTGGCGGGCGCAGGCCTGGAAAATGACGGCCGCAGCGCCCTCTTGAGATCCGACAAACGGAGAATCCACGAATCGACGTGTCAGGGTGGGGGTTCTGTCCGCCCCCGAAGGGCTCGGACGTCCATTCCCCGTGCATGTTTCGATGTCGTGCGTTCTTCTTTTGTTCTGTTCGGCACTCCAAAGTGCTCCGCGATGGTCCTCGCCGAGAACGGGTGCCCACGTCCGAGTGATGCCAAGATGCTGGAGGACGACTGCCTAGATCGGGTCCCCCGACCCTTTCCTAGCACCATCCGAGCAGCCTCGTTACCCGAGCAGCGCAAGCCCCGAGTTTTGAGCAGGGACCGACCGTCCAGGCATTCCTTTAGTCCTTCCACGAAATGCTCTTAGAACCCACAAATGTTCTAAGAACAAAAATGACGTTCTTAAAACACAGATACCGGATGTGTTCAAACAAGACAGACTCCGCCAGAACAGTTCTGAGAACATCTCGTGGAGACCACAAGAGGCTCTGAAAACATTCCTTGGTGGGGCTATAGGCGAGCCAGGACGCTTCGCCACTGCGTGAAAGTTCTAGCAGCCATTAGAGGCCTCCTAGATGGGGTCGGAGCAGATAGGGTCGGAAGATGGCGCCGCATCGCCGATACATCGGCGATGCATCGGCGATGTATCGGCGATGCATCGGCCATGCACTGGCGATGCATCGTCGACGTGTGCGGTACATCGGCGACGCCGGCGTGGAGAAAATCGGGCTCCGCATCGAGCCGCGTCGTCGATGCGTCGGCGATGCGGAGCGACCCTCCGACCCCATCTGCTCCGACCCCATCTAGGAGGCTTAGAGCCATGGTCGGGTCGGGCGAAAGGGGGGGATAGCAAAGGGGGGGTTGAGAATCAGCTCACGTAGCTGATTTTCCCGGCGCCTCCCGGCGCCGGAGGCGGCCATGTATCGAGGAATGGGCCCCTCGGTGAGGCCGAAACCAGCTGCATGCAGCAAATTTCGTAACCCCCCCTTTCCCAATCCCCTCCTTTCGCCCGACCCGAATCCCCCCGCGGGCGGCCCCCCCCGCGCGCGCGGGGCCTCCGCGGCTCCGCCGCGCGCCGCTCGGCCTCCGCGTGCCGCTCGGCCTCCGCGGGCGGCCGCCTCCTCCGCTCGCCCCCGCGGCGGCGGGCGGCGGGCCCTGGGATCTCGGCGCTGCCGCTCGAGATTGGTTCCCCAAACTAAAGCCAAAATCACAACAAAAAACACTGAAAATTACCAAAATATACCCAAAACTGCAAAAAAACACCATCACTGTCCGCGGCGGGGGGTCTCCCGTGGAGAATCTGGCCCCGATTCCCCACCAGAGACCATCCGCCGCGGACGGGGCCCGGTCACTGATTGGGCGTGGCTTAATGGGGGGGTCATAGAGGGGGGGTCAGAAACGGTCCCCCTTCCTGCCCCTTTCGGGCCCCTCTGGAGCCCCAGGGGGCTCGTTTAGGTACCGTTTGGGTACCTTTTCGGATGAGCAGGGACCGACCGTCCCGGCAGTCCTATAGTCCTACCACGAAATGCTCTCAGAGCCCCAAACTGTTCTAAGAACACAAACAATGTTCTGAGACATTGAACCCCGATGCGTAACCCGGAGAAGCAATTAAGGAACCCCCCGGCGTTATCATTAGCACCGCGCCGTAATTAAATAATTATTTGGGGGGGTTTTCGCCGAGCGATATTATTAGCACCGCGCAAATGGAAGGAAAATCAATAATTCCAGCGCCCCGCCTCGGGTGGCATCCCAATTAGAATTGTAATGAGAATAAGAATACCCCCTGCGATCTGGTGTACCCCCTCCTGGTGCCAGGATAACGCTTCCGGGTGCCGGGTGCGTTATCCTTTCACCGGAGAAGGGGGGGGGGGTCCTTAATCGCTTACTCGGGTTAGTCCCAGCCAGAAAGGTTCTAAGAACAATTCATGGAAACCACAAAAGGTTCTTAGACAACTGTTTGGTAGGGCTATAGGCGAGCCAGGACGCTTCGCCACTGCTTGAAATCAGTGCTTGCACTGAAGGGGTCCTAGCGGAAATTGACAGGTTTGGCCAAATGTTTCCGCCGATGCTGGTGGCCGGCTGGGTTCCGGGGTTCCCGGTTTCGAGTTCCCAGGACCGGTCGATCTCCTTATCGATCTCTTTATCGATCCCATTTCAAACCATCCACTGATTAGGGCTTTTCTCTGGTGTAATTGGTACCCCATCTTGCAGTATGGGGCCCGTCCACAAGAAACCATCCACAAGAAACCCAACCCTGAGACCCCAGGACGTCCATTGATCGTTGGTCTTGGGACGTAACGCTGTGCATCGCAGGACCATCGAAGCCTAAGAAACCCAAGGCACACTGGAGGCAAGCAGGGGGTTTCTCGGCATAGGCCCCCACTGTGTTGCAGCACCCCGCAGATGCGGACAAGAGTGACGAGGCGGGCGCGGAGTGGGTTGCGGGTGGGTCGCGGGTAGGTCCCAGGTTGGCAGCGGGGGTGGGTTCGCGGGTGGGTCGCGGGGGTGAGTCTCGGGGATGGGTCGCGGGCGGGTCGCTGGCGCCAGGTCGCGGGCAGGGTCGCGGGCGGGGTCGCGGGCGGGTCTCGAGTGGGTCGCGGGTCGGGTCGCGGGTGGGACGACGACAACGAGAAACGACAGACAAACAACAACGAATAACAGCGCAACAGCAATCTCCACCGCGGAACCCCACTTCTGCCGCGCACCCGGGGACAGTGACTGACCGTTCGACCCCCTCACCCTGATGTGTTCGACCATGTGATCGCTTTCTTACCCATTGTCTTGCCGATCGGCGCGGGCCCTGGCAGCCCCCCCCCCATGGAGTAGGTCTTGGCTGTGTTAGGCGCCTGTTTCGAGCAGGTGGAGCCTCCCCCAGAGGACGCACGGTCCCAATAAGTCGCACTACGCAGAGGTCCCGAGCAAGACCCCCCCCCTTCCCTCCCCCCCTTCCGCCCAGTGTCGAAACGCCGAATATTCAAGAAAACGTTAAAGATTATCCCAGTGCGACCCTACCTAGGAGTTGGAGCATTTAGGAAAGCAGCATCTACATCTACATCGACAGCTACATTTACATCTACACCTGCATCTACATCTACATCAACATCAACAGCGAGACTCACATCTACATCTACATCTACACCTACATCTACACCTACATCTACATCTACATCTGCACTGCAGGTCCGGCTTTGCGTTGCTTGTGCTTTGCTTTGCTGTTGCTGCTGTTGAGTTGCCTTTGCTTTGCTGCTATGCTATGCTATGCTATGCTATGCTATGCTGCGCTATGGTATGCTGTGTTATACTTTGCTATGCTGCGCTATGCTGCGCTATGCTATGCAATGCTATGCCAGGGTACGCTCGGCTGCGCTGTGTTATGCTAGGTTATACTATGATATGCTATGCTGCGCTATGCGATGCTGCGCTATGATATGCTGCTCTATGACATGATATGCGATGCATGCTATGCTGCGCTATGCTATGTTATGCTAGGCTATGATTTGCTATGCTATGCTGCGCTATGTTATGCTATGATGTGTTATGATATGCTATAATATGATATGATATACTGCGCTATGCTATGCTATGATATGGTATAATGTGTGTTGTTATGTTATGCTGCGCTGTGATATGCTAAGCAGTGTTATGATATGCTATGCTATGATGTGCTGTGCTATGCTAAGCTAAGTTATGCTATGCTATGCTATGATGAGCTATACTATGTTATGCTATGCTATGCTATGCTGTGTTATCGCTGCGCTGCGCTATGCTGCGCTGCGCTGCGCTGCGCTGCGCTAAGCTAGGCTAGGCTAGGCTAGGCTAGGCTAGGCTAGGCTAGGCTAAGCTAAGCCAAGCCAAGCTAAGCTAAGCTACAATGAGATTAGCTAAGCTAAGCTAGGCTAAGCTAGGCTAAGCTAAGCTAGGCTAGGCACAACAAGCTAAGCTAAGCTAAGATGAGTTAAGCTAAGCTAAGTTTAGCTAAACTTAGCTAAGCTAAGCTGGGTACTGGGGGAACCGCGGGGCGGATCCTGGGGGAACCGCCCGGGGCGCTGTACACTGCCCGGCCCCTTTAAGCCCAGAGAGTAAGAACCCTTCTAGGCAGAGCCTATAGTAGGGAAAAACGTTGACCACGGGCCTCTTGTTGCCCATCGCTCCTGGGTCGTCTTGGCGGGCTTCATGCGGTCCGGCGGTCCTGTTCGGAAACCGGGCAAGGGCTGCTAAATCCATGGCTGCTAAAATCGGCCTCTGGGCAATTGTCTTCGTCCTCCCGGGAAGAAGCCCGCGGACTGTTTCGCGTGCCGCGCCTCATTCCGGGAAGTTGTTTTTTCCTTCTAGGAGGGCCGTTTTAGCAGCCACGGTTTTAGCAGCCCTCGCCCAGCTTCCGACCTGTGGCGGCCACGGTCGAGGCCGTGGATGCGGACACCTCGCCCGCCCACGGCTGGCGAGGCGTCCCGCCGACGGGCCCCAGGGGCCCCTCACCCATCGCGCCTCGCGAAGGCGGGGTCATGATGGGCCCGTTTTCCACCACCACCACCACCATAAGTTGGAGTGGGAGGGGGTCCTCCTCCTCCTCCTCCTCCTCCTCCTCCTCCTCCACTTCCTTCCCGGATTACCTTCGGGGATCATCCGTTAAAATTGGAACGATACAGAGGAGATTAGCATGGCCCCTGCGCAAGGATGACACGCACAAATCAGCCCTTGCGGCAGAGGAGCGCTCCCCTTGCCCTGGGCGCGGCGGCCGCGCGCCGCGATTTGGCATCTCCGTGTTCGTGGTACTGCACCTGGACTACCTGTTCCTCTGCTTGGGCCTGCGTGACTCGCAAGGGCAGCGCAGGCACGAGCCAATCTCTGTGAGCGTCGGGCTCTTTGGCCTCGTGGGCAAGCTCGGCGTGGTTGCATCGTGTATGTCATGGCGCGACGGGCCTTCGGCGGCCTCTGCGCCATGGAGGCTTCGGAAGAGGAGGACGCAGCCTTTGGCCAGCCAGGACTGGCAGGCTGCGTTCAGCGAGAGGGTGGTGGCGGCGGCGGTGACCGCGGCAGTCACCGCAGTCACGCCCGGGCAGGCGCGCCCAGTGCAGGCGGCGCCCGCACCCAAGCCGACGGCGGCTCCCCCGCGGCCCACCCAGGCGCCGCAGCCGCTGCTGGCCATCGAGGACGAAGCGGCGGTGGAGGCGTCGACCAGCAAGGCGGCCCCGCTCTCGCCGCCGCCAGGCCACTTCGGCCTCCGCAGGTGGCAGAGGGCGAAGGCCCCGCCGCCCGCCGTGGAGGCCGGGCCGCCGTCGCCCGCGCAGCCTGCGCCGCGGGGCCCGACGCCGCCCCCGCGGCGGCGCAGCCGCTCCAGGCGCAGGCGCCTGGCCGCTCCGGAGGGGCCCCGCGCGCGCCTGACGGAGGCGGCGCCCGAGGAGTGGCTGGGGGCGAACTCATCGGGCTCGGTCAGGGTCTCGCGGAGCCGCCGGCGCCGCAGGAGTCGCAGGCCCTCGCCGACGCCCTCGGAGCCGCCGCTGGAGGTCAGCTGAAGGTCGAGGGCCTTGTGGCGGACGAGTACCAGGTGGAGTTCCACCCCTCCGCCGAGGCGGGGTCGGGGGGGGCGGCGGCGGGATTTGGCCCCGCGTCGTCACAGCCGCCCCCCCGCGGCCAGGGCTTTCCGGAAGCCTGCAAGAACTTCAAGGACGGTTTTTACGAGAAGATGCTCGGTGGCCCGTCGTGCTACGCCATGGATATGGACGACGGCATCGAGGACTCGAGCGAGTTCGTGGCGGACGAGCTGCACGACTGGCTCGAGGACATGGACCCGCCTCCTGTATTTGGATGTGTACGTGACGCGCATGATGATGCAGATGGGCTGGGTCCTGATGGGGATGCGGATGCCTTTCGGAAGTTCCAGGAGGTGCTGCCCGAGGTGCCGCGGTTCCCCATGCTCGGCGGTGAGCTCCTCAAGGAGACGGACCCTGCCCTCCACGAGGTGTTCAAGGGCTCGGAGTCGGTCGCGGAGAGCAACCTCAGCCTCTCTGGAGTCGGCGGGGCCGCGAAGTCGCAAAAGAGATGGACGTTGGCGAGGGCACCATCGTGATGGAGGTCAACAAGGCCAACCAGAAACTCGGCGAGAGCGTTTCATCGGATCCCTGGCAGCAGGTCCTCGTGGCCAACGCGCAGGTCTTCCTCAAGTCGGAGCAGGTGCAGGCCGCGCGGCAGCTTGCGACCTACAAGGAGTACGAGTTGCTTGGCCGCTTCGGGGACATCCAGGTGGTCATCCAGCGGCCGTGCATCAACGACAGGCTCTGGCGGCCTCACCGTGCGTCCATCTTGGAGACGCTGGAGGCGCTGGTCAGCGACTGCGGCCCCAGCATCCTGGAGGAGCTGCTGGAGGTCGACGATCTGTGATCGTGCAGGTCCAGCGGGACTTCATGATCTGACAGGTTGGGGGGGGAGGAGTGCTCCATGCAGGCCGCGGGCTTTGGGCCCTGTCCGTCCCCCCCCCCTCGCCCCCTCGTTTGCGGTGGCCTCGGGTGGCCCTGCTCGGGGGGGTTCGGCCACGCTTGGAGTGTTCCTCCTCTCTCGTGCGCCACTTCTGACAGTCTTCATTTCGGCGCGCGTCCGCGGGCGGCGCCGAGCGAGGGCGGGTCTGACCGCCTTCGAGCTCGTCTCCACGTCTCCACGCCTCCACTTCCTTCCCCCCTCCAACTGATGGTGGTGGTGGTGGAGGTGGAACAAAAGGCCCATTAGGTTAGTAATCGAGGAGGGGATCGATGAGTCTGCTTCTGAGAAGGCGCTGGTCTTACATCTGTAATAACCAAGGCCCGCGCCTTCTACGTGAGAAGCAGGGGTGTTTCTGAGAAGCCTTCCCCCCTACCCCTACCCCCTCTGCGCATGGCCGAAACTCTGTAGGCGATCCTCTACGTGAGCAGGGACCGACCGTTCCGGCATTCCTATGATTAGACCTACCAGAACATGCTCTTAGAACCCAAGCATGTTCCAAGAACAAAAACACTTTTCTGAGAACATAAACCCGATGCGCTAAAACAAATCAATCGTAGCCAGAACTGTTCCAAGAACGTCTCGTGCAGACCACAAGAGGTTCTGAATCCATTATTTGGTGGGCCTATGGGCAAGCCGGGACGCTTCGCCACTGCTTGACCTACTCGACGACACGGGGAAGTTCGCGAAGCAGCTCGCGCAGCTGCTTCTCGCGGCGCCTCCTGGCGCCACGTGCGCCCGCCCAGGCACCGAACATAGCATCCGGGAGCACGCCCCGCGGCGGCGCGGCGGGGACGAAGCCGGATGCACGCAGGAGAGTGCTGGCACGAGGCACTCCTGTCGGAGGAAGAGGAGGAGGGGGAGGGAGGAGGAGGAGGAGGAGAGGAAGAGGAGGATGAACGAGGAGGAGGAGGAGGAGGAGGGGGGAGGAGGAGGAGGAAGGTAAGGGAGGAGGAGGTAGGAGGAGGAGGGAGAGGAGGGGGAGGGGGGGGGGAGGAGAGGAGGGGGAGGAGGGAGGAGAGAGGAGAGGAGGAGGAGGAGGGAGGAGCGGAGTAGAGAGGGAAGATTGAGGAGCAGGAGAAGGCTGCCACCCCACCTAGCCCAGGACGTGTACTTCAAAAAACCGAGCCTCGAGGCCCCCCCGTCCGCCGATGCGATAAAAAAAAAAAGAAAAAAGAAAAAAAAATAAAAAAAAAAAAAAGAAAAATAAAAAAAAAAAAAAAAAAAAAGAAAAAAGAAAAAAATGAAAAAAAAAAAAAAAAAAAAAAAATAGAAAATAAAAAACACAAGGCGAGTGCCTGCCCTGAGACGCAGCCAGGACGAGGACGACTTCGGGCGAGGATGTGAGCACCTCTGCGGGCCGGCGGCTCTGGAGGCTGTCTCGGGCGCCACGGCCTTCTCCCAGTGCGTTCCGGAGTGCTCTCAGAGCGGTCCAGAAAGCCCTGGAACGGACAGCCACAAAATATGCGAACAGACTCCAAGATGGTCAAACTATCGCCCCCATAATATTGTTTGACTGCCTTTGGAGAGTCCTCCTGTAGAGGGAAGGGCCCGATTTAATCCTGGCCCCGCCCGACCTGCCCCCCCTTCTTGGCCTCCTGCGTCCGACCCTGCGGCCCTGCCTCGAGGGAAGGGGCGCCACGCATCCCTGGCCATCGCTCGGACGTCCCTTCCCTGTGCTTTTTCGGTTTCGTGCGTGGTTTTTTCGCCAGATGGTCGAGGATGCTCCTCGATGGTCCTCGCCGATTGACAAATGCACACGTCCGAGCGATGCCAAGATCCTCGCCCCGTGCAAAAAACGTCACGACGGGAGGCTGTGGGCCAACGCTCGGCGTCGGGGGGGGCGGCCTCGCCGTGCCACGGCACGGTCCGGAGCCGCCCGACAGGGCCGTTTTTATTACCGGTTCCGTTTTGCAGTTTTTTTGCCGGTTCCCCAACGCCGTTTGTTTTACCGGTTCCGTCGCCGTTCTTTGACCGGTTCCGGCTCCGGTTCCAATCCTGGAGCCGTTTTTGTTGCCGTTTCCGGTCGCCGTTTTTTGCCGTTTCCATTTTCGAAGGACATTGTTTTGGAAACGCTGAAAAAACGGCCCTGCCGTTTCCGGGGCCCACAAAAGGGAGGCCCCCCCTCACCGATGCGGGGGGGAGCAGGGGTCGCCAAGAGGCCCATGTCAGGAGGCAGCTCTTGGGACCGCTGCGTGGGAACGATTTCAGGCTCCCAGGCCCGATCATGGGGCCGCTCAGCCAGACTGAGCCCGCAAGCTGAAGCCAAGAATGAAGCCGCTCGTGCCGCCCAACTGCTGAGCTCCCCCTTCCCGAGTGCAGGACGACGATGGAGATGCCAACACTGGGGGAGGGGGCGCGGGGTGCTATTGGGAACAGTGGGTCTCTGCCGCTGGCGAAGACTCTGGGCAGGAAGGGGAGGCACCTCGGGAGCGGCCAAGAGGGATGTGTCCAAGAGGGGAGGGGTGCAAATCATGACCGGCGGCATGTGCGCGGCCCCAGCGGGGGGGGCCAGGGACGTAGTGAAATGAGAAGAGGCGCCATGAAATCTGGGGACATATCATGGCCCCCGCCATGATATCCACCCCCCCCTAGTCATCACCCCCCTCTTTTCTGGACGCCCGAAATGGGTACGGAAAGAATGGGTACAATGCCCAACAGCAGCTCCTGCTCATTTTGAACAGAATTCGCTGTCCACGCCGCCGCGGCCTTTGCCCATTCGAGACAGAAGGCCGCCTGCCCAACAGCGGCCGCTGTTGGTTTGGGACAACATTTGTTGTTGGGCATCGTACCCCTTCTTTCCGTACCCATTTCGGGCGTCCAAATCTTTGCCGCCCCCGAGGGGAGGCTCCCCCCTCTGCCCGGCTCGCCCTCTCGATGCCCCGGGCCGCGCGGAGCACGCAGAGGTCTCGGGGCCTCGGCGCCGGCCTCAGCCCCCCCCGCCCCCCAGGCGCGGCGCGCGCCGCCTTCCACCACCTCCTCCTCCCCCTCCTCCCCTCCTCCTCGCACCTCCACCTAGCTCCTACCTCCCCCTCGCTCCTCCTCCTCCTCCCCGACCACCTCACTCCCTCCTCCTCCTCTCCTGCCACTCAGGCCCTGATAGACCATGAAGTCTGTGGAGTCCACAACAGTGGCTACATGCATACAGAGACAAGGCAAAAGAGGGGCAAAGGAAAGGAAGGCGCGGGGGGTGCCTCCTCGCCGCCGCCGGCGGCGCTCCCGACTAACCCACAGAGGGGTCCATAGGCATGTACAGGGGAGCGCGGCCAGACTCGGGCGGTGTGAACTGGCCGATCGGACACGTAGGGGCCGAACGCGCAACAAGATCACACAGGCATTCAGCAACAACACGACACATGGCGGACGGCCACTGGACGGAGGAGGACTGAAACCCGTCCAGGCAGTCGAAGCCTGCCTTTAAGTCATCACTGAGAATGAGGGACCTAGACGAAACAATCCTCATTGGCATCGTGCTTCTGGGCATGCTGAGGACGAAATCGCACACCTCTGAGAAGCCAAGGGTCCAGGCGAGCTCGGGCAACTCCCAGGGGGACGGAAGGTGCGGGGTGACCTGCTGATTCATGTGCACCAAAATGCATGGGATCTGCATTGCGCGAGCGACGACTGAAACCAGAATCGCAAAGCGCAGGTGGCAATTGTCATCCTGCACGCGCGCCCAATCTTTAGGAGCGAGGTCGGGGGATCCCCATGGGTGATCAACAGCTCGAAAGGGCCTAGCACGGTCACGCCTCTCGCACCACGTCTCCACACATGGGGCTGCAATTACACCGAGCACGGTCCTGGACGACAACAAATGCAAGATCTGATCACGCTGCTTACTAGTGGCGACAACCTCCTGAGTAATCTGTAGTACACACAAAGACAAGCCATGCCTGGCAAAGAACTCCTCGCACCACCATTGTACATCATGCAAAGTGCGCGCAGACGAGGAAACATGCAGAATGTATGCCGTGTGCACAACACGAGGTGCGGCAGGTGCGGGGGGGGGGAGATGTGCCACGTTCACCTCCAGAGGCACGGGACGGCACCCAACACGGCACACGGCACCAGGGAGGCCCAGGGAGACGGCGGCACCACACAGACCAGGACCAGGGAAACGCGACGGCGGGGCAGTGGCCTTCTCCTCATAATATCCCTGCCTGCGCAACACTCGGGAGACTTCGGCATCATTCAACCTCTCTTGTGTAACTTGATCAGGGGGCATAGCTGGGAGTACTGCGAGCAAGTTGGCCAGGCACGACTGTCTACCGTGCCTGAGATGTTTCAAGAGCCTCAGCCTAGTGTGAAAGTTCAAGCAGCAAGATTGACATTGTGTGCCTGATGCAAGCCGGCCTGCTGGGTCAAGCTCGGGATGGGCCTTTGTACGATGAGAGGCCCAAGATGCACGGGTATTCAGCACCGCGTCACAGTCTTGGCACGGATACACAAGAAGGGGAGGAGGAGGCACGAGAGAGGGAGGACACTCCGTACCAAGACTGATCGCGGTGTCACGAAGTGCGTCGTGCCATTCAAGTAGTCGCATCTGGTCAATACTGCATGCCTGTGCAGCACGTTCTGCCTGCCTGCAAAGACGCTTCCAAAAACGAACGCCCTTCGTGCGAATGAGATGCACCCACCACGAGGGAGGACCACAAGGAAGCAACTCACGTGGCAACTGCACATGCGTACTCAACCATTCAAGGTCCTGGCAGACCAGGCTGGTCCATGAGGAACTGACGACCGCCGCCTCGTCGAGAAGCGATAAAAGGGCAGCGGGCGCCGCCTGGAGTAGCCGAGGAATGAGCCTCAACCTCCGCAGACGAAGTGTAATCTCAAGCGGGGCCTGATTAACCGCACTTAAGAGCTTATGTCCAGCAACATTGTTACGAGGTAAGCCGTCGAATTTG